TGCACTGCAGGATATCTCGTACTTTTAACTTCAGAGGTACTTTTTCATCTATTCTTTGTCTCCAATAATTTCAGTCCTTTTACTTTTGGAAGTCACAATCAGATTCTTTAAAAGTAGGTATCCCTGGAGTAAGATTGTTGACATCATTACAGAGCAAAATCATGAAATTCATACTTGATTTTTTTTTTCTTGTTATTGATGTATTCTTCTCTATCCTGTGGAATGACATTATAAGCGGTTTCCAAGTAAAGAGCCTTATTGAAGTGAAGTCACTAGGTTACTGATAATACTGGATCTATTTTTTCTTTCGTAAATAACTGCTTGTCCATTTTAATATTATACTTTCTGTCTAGATCAAATCATCATCTATTAGGCAAAACCTATAATGATGAATGGTGTGATGATATGCTCCACGATATCAAATTTTCCTGAGATCAAATTAAGTTGGTTGTGGTTGTCGACAGAGTGCTTTGTGGCTTGATATTGGAAGGATTTCAACAGGATTTGGAGTTGGGATTTTATCATATGTGGTAATTAAAGTAATCTTTCACTTCAAGTAGTTTCTGTAACAACTATTGGATACTCAGGATGGTTCAGTTTCTGAATCTCAAATAGGTACCAGTATATATCGCAGAAATAACGCCTAAAAATCATAGAGGAGCATTTACAATTCTCAATCAGGTAAAGAAAAATGGTTGTACTAATAAAACCTTCACTCCTGTAGACAGCTTCTGATGCTAGATGGTTTAATTCTTCAGGTTATGATATGCTGCGGCCATTCAACAATGCTTGTAATTGGAAATTTCGTATCCTGGAGAATGTTGGCTTTGATTGGTAACTCTGTTTGCCCTATTTCCAATGGATGAGATGTATGTCACCTTAGTGGACTTTCTTACCTTCTGTGTTATTATAGGAAGCATTCCATGTCTTCTACAGCTGCTAGGCCTTTTCTTCATTCCAGAGTCTCCAAGGTGGCTGGTAAGTGTTAAAAAATGTAGTAACGAATGGTAACAGAAATATATGCTTTTTATCCTATGCTCAATCAAATGGTCGATGCAATAGAGGAAATTTAATGACTCTTTAACTTTCTCCAGGCTAAGGTCAATAGGTGGAAAGAATGTGAAAGTTCTCTGCAGCGCCTTAGAGGAGCTAATGCTGATATTTCAGGAGAAGCCATTGACATTAGGGTAGCATTGAGATTCAACCTCATCACTGTTTCGTTTTTCTGGGATATGTTCAACAACAGAAAAACTAACATCTAATGCATTTCAGGTCTATACAGAAACCCTGAAACAATTCTCGGACTGTAAACTGACTGACTTGTTCAACAGAAAATATGCTCACGCAATGATTGTAAGCCATTTTCTCAGTCTGTAGCATTATATATTCATAATATTGGACGTGAAAGTAGTCAATCCTTTAATTTTTCTTCAGGTCGGGCTAGGACTGATGGCATTTCAACAGGCTGGAGGGGTCAACACCATTGCATATTATGCAAGTTCAATTTTTGAGTCAGCTGGTCTGTAAGAAAGTCTTGCTATTAATTAAATCTCCTTGTTGATGCTTTCAGAAAGACAACAAAGTAATTGGTACATCAATAACTGAAATCTGACAGGTTGTTCGGGTGCCACGGGGACTATGGCGATGGCTTCAGTTCAGGTTTTCCTACACTATGCATGGAAACTGTTATGTTTTGGGATTTTGTTTCATACATTCCATGAAAATTTGGTCTATCTACAGCTTCCAATGACCATTTTGGGGAGTCTGCTAGTGGATAAATCAGGAAGGATACCGCTCCTCATGGTGAGCAATTGGAGGTTTTTAATTAAAAAAATTGTAGAGTATCAATATCAGCTCAAACCAAGTCTACTGTTCTTCCAGGTTTCTGCAGCTGGATCATGCTTTGGTTGGCTTCTAGTGGGATTGTCATTCCTATTGCAGGTTTTGCCTTAAATTGTCCAGTTCTTTCAAATTATTGAGCTTTTAATAAATTTATGTACTCAAAGAACGTACTTGGCAAAGCAGGACCTTCAACTCTGGAAGGCCAGCCCAATTTTGGCATTAATTGGTGCACTGGTAACGTTTCTTTTGGTTTGTTGGCATTTGTAGACAAAATGCAACATATATTTATTGTAATGATATATGGGATTCTGCTATCAGATATTTGTAGGATCCTTCTCACTAGGAATGGGAGGAATTCCTTGGGTGATAATGTCAGAGGTAAGCCATTCAACTTACAGTTAAAAAGTGAAATCCAAATGACCTTAAAAGTAAAAAATTTCTAAGGAAAAACAAAAAACCTAGTTAAATTAAGTGATGCCCAGAGAATTAAAAAAGCTGGTCTCATGGTCTCATTTTCATAGGTCTTTCCCATACATGTCAAGGGTCTAGCTGGAAGCCTGGTGACAGCAGTGAACTGGCTTGGTTCTTGGTTGATTTCCTATTCCTTCAATTTCCTTGTTCAATGGATTACCTCAGAAGGTAATAGTCAGAACTTGAAGATTATTTGTCTTCAGAATCCCTTTTGATGTCTAGGCATAGGTTGAATTTTAATGTCTTTCTTTTGTTTTCAGGGACATTTTTTATGTATTCCATCATTGCAGGTTTAACTCTGATATTTGTGAAGAAGCTTGTTCCAGAGACCAAAGGGCGTACGCTGGAAGAAATTCAGGCATCCTTGGTTTTGTTTACAAGCAAGAATTGAAATCTTGAATTCTCTCTAATTCATCATTCTAGGATGAGTTGAGTTGATTTTTTTCTCACAAGTCTCCATATGATGCTAAATTGTCTGACAAAGGATGCGAGTACAAACAACTGGAAGTGTTTATGTGATGACTACTTTAACCACTTTCAATTCTTTGGACATCAGATATAATATATTTGTGAACTCATGTAATGTCAAGGGAATGTAATATTTGTTGCATTTGAATTTATAGTTTTTGGTACTTAAATCTCATATATTAAAGAATTAATCTTGTTGGTATGTCAAGGGTAAAAATGTTACATCAGAAATATAATTAATTATACACAATTTCATACCATACTTGAATAGTATTGGAAGTCTATGTCATTTTGTATAACAAGCTTAGAAGTTCTAGTCTTCTAGACAACCCAATGGCAAAAGAGAGGGTAAATTTTACTTTGCACCCTTCAACTATGTATACTTGGATTCTCACTTTGATCTCTAAAGTATAATCTGTAAAGTGTAAAACTTTTTTATATTTTAGTCCCTAAAATGGGATGGATGTTATATTTAAGTGGAAAAGATTTTATACATTCGGGATTAAGCATTCAAGTGAGACAAATATTACTTTAAGTGAGACAGAATCTATACCTCATGGATTAAAGTGGCTCGCTTTGAAGTTTAGCAACCAAAATGAGAATCCAAATATAGTTGAAAGGTGCAAAGTTGAATCAACCCAAAGAGAAGTAGATAAAGTAATAAAAATGGGATCAAGGATCTCACAAGTTGAAATCTGTCCGGTTCAAATTAGTTAATGTAATTTTTACCGTATTTGGTGTAGAGTTATAGAGTTTTGATGTAATCAACAATTTAGTTGTATTAGTTGACAAAATCAAATTATAATCAAAATTGTACAAGTTTAGACAAAAAATTTTAAGAATTACACGCATAATTTAAAATAAATAAAACTCAACTTGTGAAGCCCTAGTCCATAAAAATGGTCATAAGAGGCTAAGGAATCTCCTATAAGTAATTCTAGTCACACAATAGAGAGATTACATAGCAGCATTCCATTCTCTCATTCAGACATTGAGTGATCCTTTTAAGGAGCATGAGAAACCTTTCATACTAATTGTCTTATGCCGATAATACAAATGAAAGAGAAAACCTAGCGGACTTGTACACAAATTTTAATGTTCTTGCTTTGGTAGACAGTTGGTCCTGATCCAACCTCAAACTAAGAATTGCTAAAAAAACCTGCAACAAATGAAAAATGAGGCTTTGGTAGACAGTTGGTCCTGATCCAACCTCAAACTAAGAATTGCTAAAAAAACCTGCAGCAAATGAAAAATGAGTGAGTCAAGAATAAATCACATTGCCAAATAAGTCTGCTATATATAAAATTGACATTCAAGATACTTCATCTGGATTTATCTGTCACACATGAGTCAGCAATCAATAAATTATGAATGCCAAACAAATTTAGTTGTAGCAAAAGCCAGGACAAACTTCACGTTACCACCTGTTATTTGTCCCTGTGCCTATCTCGGCTGTAAAGATCGAGTACATTAGAAAATCAAAATATTCACTACAAAGTACAATGTACCAACATCCCCTAGAAAAAGTTTAAATGCAGCCATCGTCCAAGCTTCTTCTAATTTCTTCCAAATATATAAGCAGCAGCAAATAAAGAAGAGCCTTGTTGCATGAAAGCTTTTTAATAGGACTGCAAAGGAATATGTGGGTATTTTTAATAGGATCATATGAGAAGTTTTAAGTGATAGGAAAAAGGTTAAATCCAGTACGGGCATCCCATAGTACAATTTTGTACTCTTTTTAGAACGTGTTGTATGTTTGTAATCGTGGTTGTATTGATTTATCGAGTTAGTATACAAGAACAAAATTTTGGGGTATAACAAAGAAATGTAAATATATATCAAATCATGTAAAATGAACAAAAATCGTAGAATTGTACCAAACTCTCAACTGCACTGGCCCAAATTCGTGTTTTTGGTAGGAGCAGACGTTGAATTTGCAGTGATAGGGGTGAGTTTTAGATTTTGTTTATAGATGAGACAATGATGGATGTTGGAGGGGATAAACCATGGTTGGTCTGAAAGAGAGATTCCTGATAGCTGGAAGTAGTTCCATAAAAAAGCTAGAATCCAAAAAGCCGCTTGCAAAGTGGGTAAAACCAAAATGAGTTTTTGACCATAATTCACGAAGAGACAAATTTATACATAGAAATTCGCAAATAGAATAGTGTTAAGAGATTCCTTCAACCACATGCCCAGAAGGGGAGATATTTCTGAAATGACAGCATTTTCTCTGAAGTACTAGTTGAACTGTTGAACTTATAAACAACGATCCATTACTATCTAGTTGATCTGCAAATTGAGTTGACATCATTTGGTTTTTGTGGCCAAAAGATGGAGGGACGAAACACAGTCGATTTTGATGAAGAGGCCATCTTCCCTTTACTTAAAAGAGGAAGTTGTGATACTGAAAATGCTGAGACTGAAAAGATTGGTAGTCCTGCTCCTGCTCATAATCTCACACCTGCGGTCATATTCAGCACTTCGGTTTCTGTCTTGGGCTCCTTTTCTTTTGGAACAGGAGTAAGTACAAATCCACTATAATGCACCCTGGATAAAGGTTGTCATAATTCCAGAATAAGATATTGAGTTCATATTTTTGCTCTCTTTGCATGGCAATGTTGTATAATTCAACAGTTGCATGGTGTCACTGAACTTAGGTTCAAAGAGTCAACTTTTGGAGTTGTTATCTGTACTAATATGATGCATTCCTATCTGTGCAGGTGGGATTTTCATCTCCTGCTCAATCTGCAATAATGCATGATCTAGGCCTTTCCATAGCTGAGGTAGTTGTCCTTAATCTTCTTAAAAATGTTAAAAAAAAAAAAAAAATTATCTGCCTTCAAGGACTGACTCTCCTTTTTTTATTTTCCAGAAGGGATCTGTCTCCGAGGATTATAGCTCTTTCTTTATTTTTTTTTTCTGTATACCCTTTGAATATTTGTTGCAAGATTTAGCAGCCTGTCAATTGTCTTTGACAGGAGTGCTCTTCTTTAGACATTTATTCCAAATTTGTGCGACTTTTATGATGCCTGAACTCGCAAATGAGGCGAATGATGCTACATTCCACCCTTCTCTGCAGTCTAAACTTTCATGGTTTATTGTGGATCCAAAGAGGATGGCTGAAAAAGAAAGAAATTACAATGGACTAATTAACTTGTAAACTAAGTTATGCTAAAGAAATGGCTGGGAAAAAGTCAATGAAGACAGAGGTCAATTCCAAGTGCTTATAATTAATTATTTGAAATACTCTTCAAAATACCATAAATCTGTTTCTCTTGAAAACCCTTCTAGCCAACAGACAGAAGTAGGCTTTTTACCTTGTCTATGGTGGCTTTTCTAAAAATTTTGCATTTTACTGAGCTAATACTTCGTGGAAGTATTTTATTTTATGACAGCCTAATTTTGAAAGAACGCTGGATCGAATTTCTGTTTATGACTTTATAGTTCTCTGGTTCCAGACATCTTTCAGCTCTCTTGTTACTGATGCTTTCAGTATCCCATCACAGTTCACACACCTTATCACTTCTCATTGTAGTGAAGCTCCTGCCTTATTCACACTAATGGCATCCCAAAAGGACACTCCAACATGAAAAATACTCATTTTTGTTCTGATTCTGCAGTATTCCATGTTCAGTTCAATACTAACACTTGGAGCATTGTTTGGTGGAATACTGAGTGGCAAGATAGCAGATATCATTGGGAGGAGATATGTAAGTTCAGCATACTAAGTTTCTAGGGACAAAACACATCAACTCCAAAATCTTCCATAGACTGAGGATCTACATAAATATTCTCTTTGTATTCTCCTCTACTTGGTGCTATGTTGTTCAAAAGCATGTTAATTCATAGATGACATTAAGTCATGTTACTTTTGGTCTACTTTTTTATACTCGATATCAGAACTTCTGCTGGCATTCATGTTAACTAGCAAAAAAGTTAGGTTACTTGCTGAAATTAGAAGGAAGATAGTTTTTGCTTCTTTCTCCCTAACAAAATGAGTTGTACAAATGCAGGCAATGTGGTTCTCACAAGTGTTATGCGCGGCAGGATATCTTGTAATTTCATTTTCGAAGGTACTTTTTCATCTGATCTTTGCATTTGGAACCCATAATCAGGTACTTTTGGTTTTGGAGGAGGTAGCCTTGGAATATGATCGATGAAATCATTACAGAGCAAAACCATAAAAGCTAATGCTTGATTGAGTTTTTTTTTCCTTCTTTATTAAGTTTTCTTTATTTATCCCACTGGAATGAACTTATATGCGATTTTCAAGTAAGGATCCTTGTTAAAATGAAGCCACTAGTTTGCTTATGTCGTAGTCATAAATGACTGATCGTCCATTCATCATCTCTTTGGCATAACGTACAATAATGAATACTGTGCTGATATACTCCATGATATCAAATTTTTCTGACTCTAAGTTGGCTGTGGTTGTCGACAGAGCGCTTTGTGGCTCGATATCGGAAGGATTTCAACAGGATTTGGAATTGGGATTTTGTCATATGTGGTAATTGAAGTAGATTTGGGGTTCAGATATTTCAAATAACAATTATTAAATCCTCAGGAGGTATTCAGTTTCTGAATCTCAAACAGGTACCTGTATATATAGCAGAGATAACACCTAAAAATGTTCGAGGAGCATTTACAGCTATCAATCAGGTGCACAAAAATGGTTTTCTATTAAAGACTTCACTCCAGCTGACAGCGTCTGATGCTAGATGCTTTAAACTTCAGGTTTTGGTATGCACTGGCCATTCAACGATGTTTGTAATTGGAAATTTCATCCACTGGCGAATCTTGGCTTTAATTGGTAACTCTGCTTGCCTTCTTTCTATTGGCTGATCTGATCGTTTGATTGTCACCTTAAATGGACTTCCTTACCTACTATGCCAATACAGCAACCATTCCATGCCTGCTACAGTTGCTAGGCGTTTTCTTCATTCCGGAGTCTCCAAGGTGGCTGGTAAGCGTTAGGGAAAATTTAATGAAAAATTATAAAACATTTGTACAGTTTGAATTCTAAGATTAATGAATTGCCTTATGCAATGTAGAGAAAACTGAGTGACTCTCTCTCTCTGACATTCTCCAGGCTAAGATCAATAGGTGGAAAGAATGTGAAAGTTCTCTGCAGCGCCTTAGAGGAGCTAATGCTGATGTTTCAGGAGAAGTCGCGGAAATTAGAGTAGCATTCACATTCAACTGCTTCAATGTTTCCTTTCCTATGAAATATGTTTACTGACAGAGAATTAACTTTTGATGCATTCTCAGGACCATACAGAAACCCTGAAACAATTATCGAACTCTAATTTGACTGACTTGTTCGACAGAAAATATGCTCACGCACTGATTGTAAGGCTTATTCTCAGTTTCTACCACTATCTATTCATAGCATTCGACATGGAAATACTCAACCCTTTTAACTTTTTCCCCCCCTTCAGGTGGGACTAGGAGTAATGGGATTGCAACAAGCTGGAGGGATCAATACCATTGCATATTATGCAAGTGAAACTTTTGAGTCAGCTGGTCTGTAAGCTTGTCTTGCTAGCAAATTATCTCCTTGTTGAGCTTTTAGAAAGATGACAAAATCATCAATATATAACTCAAATCTTACAGGTTGTTCTGCTGCCGCGGGGAGTATCGCGGTGGTGGTTGTTCAGGTTTTCTTTCCATTCAGTAAAAACTGTTCTCTTTTGGGATTCTGCTACATACATACCCAAAACATTTGTTCTATCTACAGCTTCCAATGACCATTTTGGGGAGTCTCCTCCTGGATAAATCAGGAAGGGTACCATTAATCATGGTAAGAAATTCGGAGATTCGAATAATATATTTATAGTGTATCTCAATAGCAGCTCACACCAAGTCCACTGCCATTTTCAGGCTTCTGCAGCTGGATCATGCTTGGGTTGGTTTTTATTGGGATCGTCATTCCTATTAAAGGTTCTGCTTAATTCATCCAGCTTTTTCAATATGTTCAGGTTTAAAACAACTCTGTACTGAATGAATGTACTTTGCAAAACAGGACCTACGACTATCGAAGTCCAGTCCATTTTTGGCATTCATCGGTGCACTGGTAAGGAAATTCCTGCAGTAGGAAAAGCCTTTCATTATGTCTTTTTCCTTTGGTGGCATCACAATGTAAAAAAAAGTCAAAAAAAAGGGACATATAATTACCAATAATATTTGGGATGTTGCTATCAGGTATTTGAAGGATCTTATTCACTTGGAATGGGAGCAATTCCTTGGGTCATAATGGCAGAGGCAAGTCATTCAGCTTCAGTTGAATTTGATAGCCAAATAACCTGTAGAAGATTTTGAGTAATGCCCAGATTAAGGCTTTCCTGGGCTCATGGTCAGATGGTTTCTTTTTCAGATATTCCCCATAAACGTGAAGGGTTTAGCTGGAAGCCTGGTGACAGCAGAAAGCTGGCTAGGTTCTTGGATAATTTCATATTCTTTCAATTTCCTTGTACAGTGGATTGGCTCTGCAGGTAAATAGCTGAAACCTGAAGATTATCTGCTTTCAATATCGCTTCTGATATGTAGTCTTATATTGAATCTTGATCTCTTTCTTTTGTTTTCAGGGACATTTTTTATGTTTTGCATCATCAATGGTTTTGGTCTGGTATTCATTAAAAAATTTGTTCCAGAGACCAAAGGTCGTACGCTGGAAGAAATTCAGGCATCCTTGGTATTGTTTACAAGCAAGAATTGAACATTTGAATTCATTTATTATTGTTATTGCAGGATTTGTTATATTTTGTTTCCAAAGTCTATGTTGTACTGTGAAGCTAAATTTGTCTGACGATACAAAGAATTTGACAGAGGCCTAAGTGACTACTGCTTGTCATTCTTTGCATCAGATATAAATGCCAGCAGCACCTTTAATAGATATATTGAAAATGTTCGGATTTTAATACATCCATCTCTAGATCCATCTGTATCTATTTATATCAGCATCTATTTAACTACGAGCCCATTTGGATTGCATTTTTTAGAGCGTTTTTGGAGAAAAATTATTGTAGAACCTTTTTTAGAATGTGATGCATGTGAATAAAAAAGAAAGATTCGAAATTGCGAAAAAATAATATTCACAAAAAACGTAAAAATTTTTCTTTGAAAAATTATAATTCAAATAAGACGTATGCGATTATAAAAATCATCTGTTCTTCTTTTAAAAAAATGCCTATTTTTATCTGTGATGGACAAACATGCAGAAATGTCAAATGTTTTGTTAATATATTACTGCATACATCAAAACTTAACCCTTAGGGTGTGCAGTGGACTTTTTTCATTGAATTCTTGGATTTTTTTTTTCATTTTCATTCTTTTCTTTTTTTTATTATTTTTATGACCAGAAATTTGTTAGTGTAGACTGTAGATGGACTAAAAAATATGGCGTCTCCAAATATGTTTTTTAAATTGTCTCCTATCAATATATCAAAGCATTAAAAAGAAAAATCTTTGAAGAATCTTTTCTTGATTGAATTTCAATCTTGTGTCAAGTAAAAGCAGACAAAGAAAAGGAAGGCCGTCTCTTATTTTATCCGAAACAAGACAACACAACCAAACAAACAAACAAAATACTTGTGCAAATCCTCTATTATTGAGTTGAAGTTGCTACCAATGCCAACTCTCTAAAGTTCTTCTGCATGTTCAGTTCATCTCATTTCTTTTCTTGTGTCCATTCATTTGATGGAGCCACAAAGCATAGTTGATTTTGATGAAGAAGCCAGCAACCCTTTACTTAGAAGAGCAAGTCCTGACACAGAAAGCCGTGAAGATGCTGAGGCTGGGAAGATTAGCAGCCCTGCTTCTTCTGGTGCCACAGCTTTGGTGATATTCAGCACTTTGATTTCTGTCCTGGGTTCCTATGTCTTTGGAACTGCAGTAAGTACAGAAAACTGTAACTTAACAGGATTACTCACAGAATGTTATGGTAAATTCAGATCACTAGCTAAAATCCTGAATTTCTTGAAGGTTGATAATGAGGATACATAGTCTTTGATATCTTTGATTTAATGTCCATAATTGATTTTATAACTCAAAAATTGGTGTGTTTGATCTTATTTTCTGATATGACTCCTAGAAATGATTGTGCTCAATTGTTGAAAGAAGTTCGTATGCAGGTGGGATTTTCTTCTCCTGCTCAATCTGGAATTGTAAATGACCTAGGCCTCTCAATAGCTGAGGTAATTTCCGCAGCTCTTTTAAGTATGCGATAAACTTCTGCCTTTAGATCTTAACAGTTATGTTCCTTTATGTCTCTTTTTCTCAGTTTCAACATAAACAGTTGGAGTTTGTGTTATTTCCAACCCCTTCTTTATGGAATTCTTGTTGCAGTATTCCGTATTTGGTTCAATATGGACAATTGGAGCAATGCTTGGTGCAATAATAAGTGGGAAGATAGCAGATTTCTTTGGAAGGAGAGTGGTAATGTCTCTAGCACTGTGGTTCTTTAGATAATCCATCTCAGTGACTCAAAATCCCTTTCATTCATTCCCTCCAGGGTCTTCATTAAATTTTTCCTCACATCCTCCTTTCGTGGTCCTAAATAGTGAGATCCTATAGTATTCTTCAATAACCTCATCTCTTGTTTAGTTGTTCGTCAATTTTGCGTTTCCTGGCTGAAGCAAAAGAGGAATTTGTAGTTTACTTTGATCTAGTTCTGCAGGCAATGGGGTTCGCAGAATTGTTTTGTCTTGTGGGCTGGACCGCAATTTCATTCTCACAGGTACTGAACTGTGTATTTTATTTTGCATTCGTTTTGATCCTTTTACATTTGGTGGTCATGGAAGAGAATGAGCTTCATAAATAGATAATCACAGAGATTTACTTCCATGGAATATGATTGATAACTTCATGACTGTGTAATATCCTCAAACTACATATGTTTTTGATTTTATATTTATCCTCTCGAAGAAGAATTTGCTGTTTTTAGATTCTGAACACAAGTCATTGTAAGTTTTGCATATGGTATTATTATTCTTGATTGGATGATCATCATCTTGACATACCTAACAAGGATAAATCCTAGGCATCTGCGTGCTCTATAATATATAACTTTCTAAGATCCTAACTAGATCTTTTTGGTCATTGACAGAATGCTTGGTTGCTTGACATTGGACGGTTTTTAGCAGGATATGGAGTTGGGATTCTGTCATACGTGGTATTGACCATTGACCAAATATTTTGTTTATGAATCTGCTCTTGGACTCTAAGATAATATTTAGGTTCTGAATCTGACACAGGTACCTGTATATATAGCTGAAATAACACCTAAAAACCTTCGAGGAGCATTTACAGCAGTCAATCAGGTAAAGCAAATTGGTTGGAGAATAAGATTTTGCATTCAATTTGATGGTTTTGATGCTAGATGCTAATAAAACTTCAGTTGATGATATGCTGCGGGGGGTCAGTGATGTATGTTATTGGAAATTTCACCTCCTGGCGTACACTGGCTCTGATTGGTAATTCTGTTTGTCCAACCTCCATTGCCTCGTATGATTGTTAGTCAGTTAAAAAGGACTTTCTATACTTTGTCATTTCAGGAACCATTCCATGTATACTGCAGTTGCTAGGCCTTTTTTTAATTCCAGAATCCCCCAGGTGGCTGGTAAGTTCAGACACAATTCAGTAAATCAACTTCTTGCTATTAAGGAGTGCATTAGTAATGCTTTTATGCAAAATATTCTGTTTTCTTACGAGAAAGTTTAGGGATCTATTTAGGAGTAGAAGACTTGTGTGAAACTTCCCCTTCAATTATGTTCCTTTAACCCCTGTAATCTTATCAATTCATTCAATCAGGACAAAAACTGAACTAGATCTGGACTTTCTGCAGGCTAAGATGGATAAGTGGAAAGAATGTGAAACTTCTTTGCAGCGCCTTAGGGGAGCCAATGCCAATATTTCTCAAGAAGCAGCTGAAATCATAGTAGCATTCAGACTCTCTTTTATGTACTTTCTTTCTTAAGGGATATTTTTGACAAGGAAAATTGCGTTTCCAGGAGTATACTGGAATGCTTAAACAATTGTCTGACACTAGGATGATTGACTTATTCCAGAGGAAATATGCTCACGGACTCATTGTAAGATCTTCTACTGTTATTTGATTTTTATATTAGACTCAGAAATTCACTAAAATTATAAAATTCAATCAGGTTGGAGTGGGTCTAATGGTATTGCAACAATTTGGAGGGGTTAACGCCATTGCTTATTATGCAAGCGCAATTTTTGAGTCAGCAGGTTTATAAGCTCTTTTTGCTACTGATTCCATCTGCTGATAATTTAAGAAAGGTAATTGAGGGTACAGAAATTAATATATGATAAGACAATGACAGGTGTTTCTAGTAGGACTGGGACTTTGGCCATGGTTGTTATTCAGGTTTTCATTTGATTCACTGTTGTTCAATGTTGGATTCTGCTCCACGCATTTGTAAACATTTCTGTTCCATCTACAGGTTCCAATGACCCTTTTGGGGACTCTCCTAACCGATAAATCTGGAAGGGTACCACTGCTAATGGTAGGAAGGTTGTCGTCAATAAGCTTTTAGGTTTCTGCTGTTAATATCTGCTCATACTAAGTCCATTACTATTGCAGATTTCTGCAACTGGAACATTGTTGGGTTGTTTCTTAACAGGATTGTCATTCTTACTACAGGTTCTATTTATCTTAATACATTTTACTCCGAATTAAATTGATTGATCTATAAAAATTTATGTACTGAAAGAATATACTCCACAAAACAGGACCTTCAACTCTGGAAGGACAGTCCATTATTAGCATTAATCGGTGTGCTGGTAATGCAATTCTTATGAAATTGAAATTTTCCAGTTTCATTGTTTTCTTTGTATACTGAATATATTCTTAGATCTGCTAGAAGTTTTACCACTTCAAACCTGCTTCTAAAAGCTCAAGAACTATATACAATTGGAGACTTACAAATCTTCCTGAAGTTCCTCTAGCTTAGTAATAGCAGACTAGTACCAGCCACTGTGAGGAAATGGTTACAAATTGGAAAAAGGGAAATACCATACGGTACTAATATATGATATGCATCCTCCTATCAGATCTTTACAGGATCTTTCTCATTAGGGATGGGCGGAATTCCTTGGGTTATAATGTCAGAGGTATGTCATTTATCTTTGAAGTCTTCATAACTGAATGCCACAAAAGGCAATAACGAAATTTTCAGGAATGAGGAAAAACAGATTTGTACTAAATGTAGCCCGGAGTAGATTCTTGAATGAATATTTCCTCTGTCAGATATTTCCAATAAATGTGAAAGGTCTAGCTGGAAGCCTGGTGACAGTTGTGAACTGGTTTGGTTCTTGGATTATTTCCTATTCTTTCAATTTCCTTACAAAATGGATCAGCTCTGCAGGTAATAAAGCATGCAAAAACTTAATCATCCCTTTTAAGACTTAGTCGTCTATTGATCATATTTTTTTTTTCTCTCCAGGGACATTTTTCTTGTTCTCAGTCGCAAGTGGTTTAACTATCATATTCGTTGCAAAGCTTGTTCCTGAGACTAAAGGGCGTACCCTGGAAGAAATTCAAGCATCCATGGTTTTGTTTACAAGGAAAAGCTGAAATTTCAAATCCATTCTTCATGGTTGTAGAGGTGTACTGTTCTATATGCCTGTTGCTTTGATCTGCATATCTACATCTTGTTTTTGAGTTAATTGCTGACAAAAGCACAGAAAATAAAAATCCATACTTCTCCATATGATTGTAGTGACTATTTATCAATCCCCCTACAGATTAAAAATGCTTGGAGTTTTGAGTACAAGTGACTTTTCATTAGCATGTTGTTCTAAGAAATGCAAGTAGCAAATTGCACCAGCTTCAAATATTGCAGTAAACTTAAACTGCAATTTGAGCTGATGTTTGGCCCTGCAAAAAGTATTAAAGTCATAATAGCTTTGGTTGGAAAATATTGGATAA